ACAATTCAAATTGTACCAAATTTAGTACACATTAGTAATAATTTTTAAAACTTCCTACATATATCGATCTTACACCCCAACAGTGATCCTGACTCCAAATTTAATGATTCTAGCTCTATTGGTTCGCATAAAATTCAAATTGTACCAAATTTAGTACCATTTAGTACCCATGACTATAAATTACTGAAACTGGGTAAAAAGAATTCCAAAACTACGTACATTCCCAATTCTGCACTCCGACGGTAATGTTAATTTCAAATTTCAGGACTCCAGCTCCATTTGTATCTCCAAATTGAATTTGTACCAAATATAGTATCATATAGTACCTTTCGTACACATGAGTACACGCTTTCAAAACCATCTCCTTAAATAGACTCTACATCTCATCCCTAAGTCGCATTCCAAATTTCAAGTTTTTAGCTCCATCAATTCACATTCTACGAAATTGTACCAAATTAAGTACATTTTAGTACTTTTCGGATATTTTTAGTTCGAATTTCCAAAAACCCGTTGGTACATCTATCCTACACTCAGCGACCACCAATCCAAATTTCAGAGTTCTAGCTCTACCGGTTCGCCAAATACAAATGGTATCACATTTAGTACTTTTTAGTACTTTTCGTACCGTCCTAGTACGAATTTCCAAAAACGCTTTTGTACATCTTCCTAACGGACGGACATGGCTAGATGGTCTTAGAATTTTACCCTGATCAAGAATATATATACTTTATAGGGTCGGAAATGAATATTTCGATGAGTTAATATACCCTCCATACTATGGTGGAGGGTATAAAAAGAAGACAAGTGCAATGTAGTATATAAGATAAAATGTAACGGGGACAAAACCAACTTATGCCAAAAGGTGTATGTTGGTACAACAAAAACCAAACTAAAGACAAGACTTTCTGGACATAAGTCGAATCAAAATGCAGACAAGCCATTAGAACAAAAGACGGCTCTTGCAGCACATTGCACAATGACGGGGCATACGCCAAATTTCAAAGACGTGTGTTATATTATTCTGTGAAAACCTTATTAAATAATTGTATCTTTTAGTATTTCCCTGAAGATGACTGTCGAAGACAGTCGAAATATTGGAGAATAAAAAAAAATAAAAAAGCAGAAAACAAAATACTGAATTTTATTTAACCTTAAGCCGAAACAAATCCAAACAAGAAAAATAATACATCACAGGTTAACAAAAACAACAAAAACAATTTTAGAAAATTTTAAAGGATAATTATACCCTCAGCCTTATGGCTAATGAGGGTGTATACACTTTAACACGATGAAAATGTGCCTCATTGAAATATTGAGTCCATGGTCCATGTTCCTTTGGACCAAATCCGTTTCAGAAAATTTAGATTTCATCCGAACTTTGCCCATCTTATTATTTCTTCCAAGCTTAGTTCAAATTCGAAGATGGGGAATATCGGTCCACTCCGTCTGGAACCCCCAATCAGGGGCTAGGTCTAAATGCAGCTATAGTTCATTATCGAACCTTAGGTTCTAATTTTTTATCTCGCTATCCTCCGCAGGTGAAATGATTACAACAGAGTCTTAGAACCAAACTCAAAACGCGGAACAAATCAGATAACTATTTTAATATAAACAAGTGAAAAAGCGGTAAGTTCGGCCGGGCCGAACTTTGGATACCCTCCACCATAGTTATATTGACAGGTACTATAAATGAAAATATAGGGAACATACCAAAAAGTGGACCTATACCGACATTTCTAAAAACGGATTATGTAAACCATAATAAAAATTTTAGAAAATTTTAAAGGATAATTATACCCTCAGCCTTATGGCTAATGAGGGTGTATACACTTTAACACGATGAAAATGTGCCTCATTGAAATATTGGTTCTAGTCCATGGTCCATGTTCCTTTGGACCAAATCCGTTTCAGAAAATTTAGATTTCATCCGAACTTTGCCCATCTTATTATTTCTTCCAAGCTTAGTTCAAATTCGAAGATGGGGAATATCGGTCCACTCCGTCTGGAACCCCCAATCAGGGGCTAGGTCTAAATGCAGCTATAGTTCATTATCGAACCTTAGGTTCTAATTTTTTATCTCGCTATCCTCCGCAGGTGAAATGATTACAACAGAGTCTTAGAACCAAACTCAAAACGCGGAACAAATCAGATAACTATTTTAATATAAAAAAGGGGTTATATGGGGACTACCCCAAAAAGGGGGCGAATATTAAAAATTTTTGGTAGAGAGATTTGTTACCATATACGACTACAAATTACCAAATTGCAGCAAATTCGGTTGAAAAATGCGCTCAAGAACCCCCAAATACCGAAAATTGGGGGTACCCTTATATGGGGGCTATCCGAAAAAATGGACCTATATTCATAATTTTTGGTGGAGAGATTTGGAACCTATTAAGAACCCAATGTACCAAATTTCAGCGTATTCGGTTGAAAAACGCGCTCAAGAACCCCAAAATTCCGAAAATTGGGGGGTACCCTTATATGGGGGATATCCGAAAAAATTCACATATATTTATAATTTTTTGTGGAGAGATTTGGTACATATTAAGAACTTGAAATACTAAATTATAGCCAATTCGGTGGAAAAATACGATCAAAACCCCCAAAATACTGAAAATTAGGAGGTACCGTTATATACCAGAAAAAGTGGACCTATATTTATAATTTTTTGTGGGGAACAGTACCCAAAAAGAACCAATGTACCAAATTTCAGCGTAAACGGTTATGTAAACCATAATAAAAATTTTAGAAAATTTTAAAGGATAATTATACCCTCAGCCTTATGGCTAATGAGGGTGTATACACTTTAACACGATGAAAATGTGCCTCATTGAAATATTGGTTCTAGTCCATGGTCCATGTTCCTTTGGACCAAATCCGTTTCAGAAAATTTAGATTTCATCCGAACTTTGCCCATCTTATTATCTTCCAAGCTTAGTTCAAATTCGAAGATGGGGAATATCGGTCCACTCCGTCTGGAACCCCCAATCAGGGGCTAGGTCTAAATGCAGCTATAGTTCATTATCGAACCTTAGGTTCTAATTTTTTATCTCGCTATCCTCCGCAGGTGAAATGATTACAACAGAGTCTTAGAACCAAACTCAAAACGCGGAACAAATCAGATAACTATTTTAATATAAAAAAGGGGTTATATGGGGACTACCCCAAAAAGGGGGCGAATATTAAAAATTTTTGGTAGAGAGATTTGTTACCATATACGACTACAAATTACCAAATTGCAGCAAATTCGGTTGAAAAATGCGCTCAAGAACCCCCAAATACCGAAAATTGGGGGTACCCTTATATGGGGGCTATCCGAAAAAATGGACCTATATTCATAATTTTTGGTGGAGAGATTTGGAACCTATTAAGAACCCAATGTACCAAATTTCAGCGTATTCGGTTGAAAAACGCGCTCAAGAACCCCAAAATTCCGAAAATTGGGGGGGTACCCTTATATGGGGGATATCCGAAAAAATTCACATATATTTATAATTTTTTGTGGAGAGATTTGGTACATATTAAGAACTTGAAATACTAAATTATAGCCAATTCGGTGGAAAAATACGATCAAAACCCCCAAAATACTGAAAATTAGGAGGTACCGTTATATGGGGGCTACCAGAAAAAGTGGACCTATATTTATAATTTTTTGTGGGGACATTAAGTACCCAATAAGAACCCAATGTACCAAATTTCAGCGTATTCGGTTGAAAAACGCGCCCAAGAACCTCAAAATACCGAAAATTGGGGGGTACTGTTATATGGGAGCTATGTCTAAACGTGGACCGATATATCCCATCTTCGAACTTGACCTGCCTGCAGACAAAAGACAACCCTATGCAAAATTTCAGCATCCTATCTCAATTCCTTCGGAAGATAGCGTGATTACAACAGACGGACGGACGGACGGACGGACGGACGGACGGACATGGCTAGATGGTCTTAGAATTTTACCCTGATCAAGAATATATATACTTTATAGGGTCGGAAATGAATATTTCGATGAGTTACAAACGGAATGACAAAATTAATATACCCTCCATACTATGGTGGAGGGTATAAAAGGGGTTATATGGGGACTACCCCAAAAAGGGGGCGAATATTAAAAATTTTTGGTAGAGAGATTTGTTACCATATACGACTACAAATTACCAAATTGCAGCAAATTCGGTTGAAAAATGCGCTCAAGAACCCCCAAATACCGAAAATTGGGGGTACCCTTATATGGGGGCTATCCGAAAAAATGGACCTATATTCATAATTTTTGGTGGAGAGATTTGGAACCTATTAAGAACCCAATGTACCAAATTTCAGCGTATTCGGTTGAAAAACGCGCTCAAGAACCCCAAAATTCCGAAAATTGGGGGGGTACCCTTATATGGGGGATATCCGAAAAAATTCACATATATTTATAATTTTTTGTGGAGAGATTTGGTACATATTAAGAACTTGAAATACTAAATTATAGCTAATTCGGTGGAAAAATACGATCAAAACCCCCAAAATACTGAAAATTAGGAGGTACCGTTATATGGGGGCTACCAGAAAAAGTGGACCTATATTTATAATTTTTTGTGGGGATATTAAGTACCCAATAAGAACCCAATGTACCAAATTTCAGCGTATTCGGTTGAAAAACGCGCCCAAGAACCTCAAAATACCGAAAATTGGGGGGTACTGTTATATGGGAGCTATGTCTAAACGTGGACCGATATATTCCATCTTCGAACTTGACCTGCCTGCAGACAAAAGACAACCCTATGCAAAATTTCAGCATCCTACGGGTCGGAAAACCGAAATATTACGAGCGCTGCTAAAAATTGTCGCGTATACGCTATGCTATAATTAATTTTTTATTTATAATATATTCACTATTTAATCAGTTTCCTCATTTAATAATTATTCTCATTGGTTTTCATTATTTTATATTCAGATTTCACATTATTTGCTAATATTAAATATTATATTATTTTAAATAAGTTTATAGTACAAACCTGCATGCCAATAACTGCATAAATGAAAAATAGCATTACAATTAAAAGCGCTACATACGGAAGGGCTTGAAATGATTTTATAAATGTCCAAAGTAGGGTCCGAATGCCTTCGCCTTTACTCAACAATTTTACTAAGCGCATAACGCGAAAAAGTCGAAAAAAATTTATTGATATTAAGCTGGAGCCTCCCTAAAAGAAGGTTAGTTATTTACAGGTCTTAATAAAAAAATCCGCTTACCTTCGCTTTATTACAGGATTGTCCATCGCAAGACGCCAATGCCTGCTCTTTTGTTTTTATTTCGCTATAGACGATGTCAATAAAGCTTCCTAACACAATAATAAAATCGAAAGTGTTCCAAGCATCACCGAAGTAGTTCTACATAAATTATATGCAAGAAAATATAATATTATACAATTAATGTGAAAACTAAAATATCTAAAAATTGTAACTGTCGTCGCTCTCACAAGTGTGTAATTTTGTAAAGATGGACAATAAAAATAAAAAAAATATGTTCAAATAAATAGAACGATCATATTTTAGTAAAAACACAGCAAACGCCTGAAAACGATAATAGTGACTTAATTTTCATTACCGAGAAACGGGTCAATACTTTTAAACGGCATGTAATATTTTCAAAAGGCCAACCCAATGGAAGTCATGAAAAATATTTGAAAAAAATATAATATACAGTCTTACCACAACGTCACGAGTTGTTGTTATTCTCTTCAAGAATAACTACATTCTCATTTACCGAAAATACTGCAAAAAACAAGTGAAAAAGCGTTAAGTTCGGCCGGGCCGAACTTTGGATACCCTCCACCATAGATGTACTGGCAGGTATTTGAAATGAAAATATAGGGAATATAAACCATAATAAAAATTTTAAAATGGATAAATTACCCTCAGCCTTGGAATCTATTAAGAACTCAAAATACTAAATTACAGCCAACTCCGTGGAAAATTACGATTAAGACCCCCAAAATACTGAAAATTATAAAAAAGGACCTATATTTATAATTTTTTGTAGGGACATTTAGTACCCAATAAGAACCAAATGTACCAAATTTCAGCGAATTCGGCTAAAAAACGCGCTCAAGAACCCAAAAATACCGAAATTTGGTGGGTACCCTTATATGGGAGCTATGTCTAAACGTGAACCGATATATCCCATCTTCGAACTTGACCTGCCTGTAGACAAAAGACAACCCTATGCAAAATATCAGCACCCTATCTCCATTCCTTCAGAAGATAGCGTGATTACAACAGATGGACAGACGGACGGACATGGCTAGATCGTCCTAGAATTTTACACTGATCAAGAATATATATACTTTATAGGGTTGGAAATTAATATTTCGATGAGTTACAAACGGAATGACAAAATTAATATACCCTCCATACTATGGTGGAGGGTATAAAAATGGGGTTATAATTTTTCGTAGGGAGATTTGTTTCCATATACGGCTACAAAATACCAAACTTCAGTGATTCCGGTTGAAAAACGCGCTCAAGAACCTCAAAATGCGAAATTTGTGCGTACCTTAATATGGGGGCTAGCCGAAAAATTGACCTATATTTTGTGGAGAAATTTGGTACCTATTAAGAACTCAAAATATTAAATTACAGCCAATTCGGTGGAAAAATGCGATCAAAACCCCCAAAATACTGAAAATTAGGAGGTACCGTTATATGGGAGCTACTAGAAAAAGTGGACCCATATATATATATATATATATATATTTTCTGTGGAGACATTTAGTACCCAATAAGAAACCAATGTACAAAATTTTTAGCGTATTCGGTTGAAAAACGCGTTCAATAACCCCAAAATACCGAAGATTGGGAGGTACTGTTATATGGGAGCTATGTCTAAACGTGGACCGATATATCCCATCTTCGAACTTGACCTGCCTGCAGACAAAAGACAAACCTATGGAAAATTTTAGCACAGACGGACGGACATGGCTAGATCGTCTTAGAATTTTATTCTGATCAAGAATATTTATACTTTATAGGGTCGCAAATGAATATTTGGATGAGTTACAAACGGAATGACAAAATTAATATACCCTCCATACTATGGTGGAGGGTATAAAAACACAAACAAATATTCTAGTCACCAACCGTTGTTTTAGTTATAACAACAACTATCACTGCTTGGCTGTTTATTGTTGAACGATCATTCATACACACGCAAATTTACTTTCTCATTTAGTGAAAATACTGCAAAAAAATAAACGAAACAAAAAGTGCAGTGAACCAGTGATAATTGTTGGTGCCATAATTTCTTCTTGAAATAATATTCCTATTGTTTTAAGTGTTTTTATCTAAATTCAAATACCTATAGTTGAAAAGAATGAAAAAAGGAGGAATAAAGACACTAACAAATATTCTAGTCACCAACTGTTGAGTGAGTTATAACCAGTGTTGCCGTTCGAAAAAAAATTTCCGCCCAAAATTTCCCCTAAAAAGTGCCCAAAGTCAACAATTTATGCCCAAAAATTCAAGAGTTGAAAAAGTATACTCTGACTTTAAATATGAAAAGTGAGGGCTTTCTTTGTTTTACATTTACATTGAAAAGAACACAGTTTATTTAAAAAATCCACGCTTTCTAAGCGAATGAAAAAAGGTATTTTAAAATCCACGCCTTATCGTATTGAAAAAAGTTACTTAAGACATCCATCTTTGGTATTGAACAAATTATTAAAAAATCCATGACTCATGAGGGTATCGAAAAATATACAAAAAATTCACCGCTTTTAAGGATATCGAAAATGAAATATTTAAGGGAACCCCACCCATTCTCGATTTTAATTTTTCAAGATTTTCCATGGGCTGGTAAATCAATACCAATGCTTGTTAAGATTTGTAACTTTGCACATATATATTTGAAAATTTAAAAGAGAAGAAAAATAATTTACAAAAAATTTTTGTTATTGTTTTTTGTAATTAAAGAAAAGTCCTTATTTTTGATGGCGGGCATGATAACTCCTCACTGGGACATCGGAATCCGAAAATTCCATTCCATTTTACATTCGGCCATTTTCATTTTTTCTTTAAAATATTTTTGGCAACTTGTTTCTAAATTGTTCGGTTAAAGTACAAAGTATATTACACGATATACTTAAAGGAACCCCAACATTCTCGATTTTAATTTTTCAAGATTTTCAATGGGCTGGTAAGGTTTGTAACTTTGCATATATATATTTGAAGATTTAAAAAGGAAGAAAAATAATTTACAGAAAATTTTTGTTGTTGTTTTGTTGTGGTTTTTTGTGATCAAAGAAAAGTCCTTATTTTTGATGGCGGGCATGATAACTCCTCACTGGAACATCGGAATCCGAAAATTCCAACGGTGTTAGAAAGAGTACATGTCTGGTTCTCGTATTAACTAGTATTAATGACTTCGCTCTAAAATTAACAAAATGGCGGATCTTTGAAAAAATATTTTTGGAAAATCGCCGATTTTTTACCAAAAACCAAGTTAAAAAATAAGGAAGATCTTCACCGATTGGCTTTATCCTAGTTCATACCATAGCTATACAGTTACAGAGAAACGTGTAAAAATTTGAAATCGATTGGGTTATTAGTTTTTGAGTTATCGTGCCCGCCATTCGCAAAAAAATGTTTAGAGAAAAACGCGTTTAAAGTTTGGGAAGCCCTTCAGCCGTCACTTGATGCTGACACAATAAATCGGCTATATCTTCAAGAGTTCTTGAGATTTTTACTTGACATTTTGTAGGAACATTCTTGAATTAGTGTAGATTGGAATTAAGTCAACAAAAATTTTGACCCCGAGAATGGGGGGGGGGGTCCCCTTAATAAAATTTACTAAAATGTACTGCACTAAATTTTATGGCTTTTTTCATTCACTTTAAAAAATTCGGTTGACTATTTTTTGCAGATTCTTGAGTTTCTATTGTATTTTTCGTTACAATAAGATCGAAATTTGGTATTTTGTATAAAATCTCAACAGTATTTCCGATGACTTTGACTATATTTTCGTATTTTCTCACTGGTTTTCTTCGAAAACTTTAGTTTTCAAGTATTCTAAATTAGAATCTCGTGAAGTTTATCGACTTTTTGAAGTTTTGTTCAATTTAAATTTACTTTTTCTCAATTTTTGTCGCTTACCCCATAGATTTCTTCATCCGGGCTGCTGATGCTAATGCTAACTTCGTTTAACTTCCAAGATGAAGATTTTGATATATATGCAGTCGAAATTCAGGCTGCTGAAGTCAGAGAAATGTGGTCCAAGGCAAAACAGATGTTTGATAAATGCTTTACTCATTGGCAAATTCGTGACGAGGGTGATGCAGGTTCACACTTCACATCAGCAAAAGCGAAAGAGAAGATCCTATATTCATAGCCTTGCCTTAATAAATAAAAGCTAGATGAAATGCGTCCTCAACCGAAAACTGCTGGTTTTCCTAATGTGCCAAATATGGGAAGTTCTCCTCACCAGGGTGTAAATGACATTCTGTCCATTTCCCAAATTTCCTTCCCATCTGAAGCAGCTACGGACATTTCTGGTATAGATAATTTCATAAATTTACCGCCCCGTGACATCGATGTGTTCAATGGCGATTTTCTTTCGTGGTGAACTCTCCAGGACTTATTTTTATTAATAAAAATAGGCTAAGTGGTTGTGTCATTTAATTAAGAAATCAGGTGTTGCAGCTGGAGATATGGTTTCAAAGTTCCCATTGACCCACCAAAGTTTCAATTTAGCATGGGAGGTACTTAAGAAAACATATGATAATGTTTTAATACTTGTTAATAATCGATTAAAGTTGTTATTTGATATCCCGGTGATTGACAATGACACAAGTTCAGGGTTGAAAAATACTCAATATGATCCCATACTTGTATTTATTTGCATAGAAATTTCGGGTGATTGATTACAGGCCCAACTCCGAGTTCCTATGTCAGGGTGTATTCTACCACAATATCGGACACAGTTTACGAAACAAGGAACAAATCCTACTACAAGGGAAATTAGTAGCCACGAAGCAATTATTGGCTACAAATTTAGCGTAAACCAGCTCCAACTCTTCAGAAACATTTTAATGTATAGCACGATTGTTCTTTTTATTATTTCTGTTATATATGGTTCATAACATTTTATGAAATGGTTACTCTACTTTCTGAGAGAAAACTTTCATAGTTCGTTTTTCTCCACAT